CCCCCCCCCCCCACCCGAATTGACTTTCACCCTACCTCCTCCCTGCTTTAAACAGTGAAATTTTTCGCATTAAAAACAAATTTTCTGTTAAAGCAGTGAACTTGTGTTTGTGTGGAAAATCGCGCGCCACAAAATGGGAGAGGTGGAGTGTAGTAGGTGGATGTAGTTTATAACAGTTTCTGATGTTATATAGCCAAAATAGAACGTTATTTTTTCAAACTTTTTTTGTTAATAACTTTTTAATGAAGGACAAGCGACGGCTTGTTGGAGGTTACTCAGGATCATGATTTTAACAATATATGTATGTCAAGATCAAGGTCATTGGAGCTTGATCCTCTAATCGATATTTTTACCAAAAAAAAGGAATAAATAAAAAAAATAAGGAAACTAATTATGAAGGAATCGATTAAAATTAACATGCACACTTACATAGATTTATATGGAAGGATACTGTAATCAAGTAAAAATTGAGCTTGCCAAAAATGAAGAAACAAATGAAGGAATTGTGCAAGATACATAGTTATTGGCCCAGCGATGTCCCTTGCGCTTTTATCTAAATTCATTAACACCTAAAATACCCATTTAACTTATTTTCGTATTTATTTCGGATGTAGCATTGATGAAATTTGCAGCGATTATGAGGATATTACTAAAGATTATTTTTCCATAATGTTAAAAAATGTAACAAATCCTCGTATATTCTAAAATTATTAGTACTATAAAAAAGAAAGATGATACGTACTTGTATATCAGTTGATACGTACTTGTATACCAGTTAAACTTCCAATGATCATATTTAAGTTAAGATTAATTAGAAATATTTTCGTAAATAATGATTCGATATGTTCAGCAAATCTGTGAAATCAGGACATTACACAATTACATATGAATTAATATATAGGTATATGTATAAATATCAACGATAGAACGTTATACAGTATATTTTTAACATACTCTATCACAAGAGGATGTCTACGTAAACAATGTAAAGTTTTACTGTAATTGTTGTCCTGTATCTTAGCTCGTTTTGTGTAAAAAATATCCTCATTATTTTTGCCAATGTTCTCCAGTGTGTTTCTGTAATGTAAGAGATATCATTGCTTTTGGCAAATCGAGATTTTGAAATTATGAATCACTGAAAAAATTGATTGTAATTCAAGAAAAGTCTCTATCTTTTCATGATTAACAGAGACTTTACCCAATAATTGAGAACATTGCACAAGCATGCTGAATTAAACTATAATACAAGCCATCAACCGCGACTGTGGCGAACGTGTGAGCGAATACGGCAATATAACTATGCAGTGTTATCAGATATATATATTGATTGAATTTCTCGCCGTATTCAAGACGAAATGGTAATTTCGGTACAGAAGATTTTGTCACATTGATGATATCATTCGCCATCAGAGTCAGCGTGATTGGTTTAAGTACGAAAAGACACCCCGTCATATGCATAAAAACTAGAGAAAATGGTAATCTTAGCAAGATCTCTTTAGATTATTTTATTAATATATACAAAATACAAAGATCAATTTTCTTGATAAGTATACTCTTTAAGCAATTTTTTAAAGAAGCAATAAAATAATTTTTCGTAAAATCGCGAAGGATCCTATATACGATTCAAAATATACGCAAGTTATTATAACACCTGCATTGTACATACTTGCATAAAATGCTGCTAGATATTGCCCATATCTTGTATGCCGTTGCAGAATAATCCTTTCTGTATCTGTATTTACTGATAGCCAATCCTTTCGTATTATGTTAAGACAAATCTTTACCTAAACACATGCTGCCGTATTTCTTGCTAATGTAACATTTTTTCATATAAAAGTCAAGTGTTAATGCAAGTTTGAAAATTCATCACTTACTTTCTTGCTATTTAACATTATAATCAATAGTTTAGAGCTGAATGTTATACTGATAATTAGAGGTGGCAGGCATTCGAACACGTCATCGAGAGTTATCAAGCCGATTATTAAGTAAAGTGCCTATTGGAATCAGTATAAAGTAAAACGTACAATGGCGAAATTGATAATTTGTTGTATTTTTAGAATTTATAATGGAATTATATAAGATAAATACAAATAGAGAACAAACAAGAATATAAAAGCGCTCGAAATTTACACAGCAAAACAATTAAATTATCAACGACCAAATAAAAAAAACGAGCAATATAAGGTGTTTTGTTAAAATATTTAATATTAATTTAACATATCAATATAAGAAGAATATCAATATATAAAATATAAATGAATATAGGTGTTTCGGCTACACAGAGTCTTCTTCAGTATAACTAAATGAACACATTTCTTCTGCTTAATAACTATTTCAAATCAAAGAAAATTCCATGTTAATTTATTGATGATATCGTTTTTACACCATCATGTAAGTAATCGTTTTATAGTTTTTTTAAAATCAGAAATTTCTACGAATTTATATATTTTTTTAATTTAGATAAATTAATCGTGAAATTATTCTTACATTATGGGACTAACGTAATTCTCGCCATTAAACGAGTAATTTGTTTTGCATGTTTAATTATGGACATCTTTGGAAGAATTGACATTGATTCACCATCAATTATCATCAATAAATTGACATGGAATTTTATTTTATTTGAAATAGTTGTTAAGCGGAAGAGATATGTTTACTTAGTTATACTGAAGAAAGCTCTGTGAAGCCGAAACGTCCATATTCATTTATTTATATTTTATATATTGAGAGAGATATTCTTATATTAATATGTTAAATTAATATTAAATATTTTAACAAAACACCTTATATTGCTCGTTTATTTGGTTCTTGATAATTTAACAAATAAAGATATATATATAATGATTCTATAATGTGTTCTCGATAGAAAAAAAAAATTATACATCACATATTTATTGTAACTTCATACATTCATTAATTTACAATTACATTTGAGTACATCAAAATTTTGTTTTATGTATCTTTTTCTGATTAAAGTTATTCGTATGTATTTTAAATATTTAATGAAATTTAACATGCGTGTGTGCGCGTGCACAGTTGATTAATAGATTCATTAGATAATTGCATTCGATATATTTCTGATCACTTAAGAAAAAAATGTATATTCGATCAATAAGTTTGCAGCACAATAAATAAATTCTTTTTTTAAAATAACTTTTGAATATATATACCTGAGGTATCGCAATACTAGAACACAATACAAACAACAGCACGAAGCAAATACATCTGTCGCGAAGATTATAATATGGCCATAATCCTGAAATAGTCAGATATAATCTAAGAACAGCGTAACGTCGGTTTTGCTCAACGTCTTTCTTGTCGAACATTTTTCGAAATAAGATGATTGCGGACTATATCGACTATTCTATGTGAATGTCAACATTCAAAGTTCAATTTTCAATAAATTGCGGAAGATTGCATATTGATTTCTTTCATCTTCTATTCAGCAACATTATTGTAATTGCGCTGAGAAATAAGCGGACGATTAACTATTATGTTTCAATCATTTCTCTTTTACATTTTTAAAGCTGTTGCTTATCATTTCTCTTTGAAGGGACACTTTCTTGTAATTTTATTACGTATCTTATGTTTCACGTATCTCATTTCCTCTTGGAAAACTTTACCTCCCTCTTAGAACTTTATACTGCTTAAGAGAAAGCTGTATATTCCCTTTTTAGAGGAAATAAATAGCAGAAATGACAAACGTCGTGAAAATATAATACATTATTATAATTTAATCACAAATTTTTCCAAATTGTGTCTTCATTCTTTTACACTGTTAATTAGAAAGGTAAGTTTTTCGGAATGTTCGATCGGTTGATTACATATGTAATTTATGTCGATAAAAAATTAACTTACATACTTATGTAAAGTTACACGAGTTCAAAAAGTTTTTAGAAAAGAGCGGATTTACACACACGCACACACACATTATATATTCATACGTAAGTCCGCTCTTTTCTAAAAATTTGTATATGCATTTATATACATGTGTGTATGTGCGTGCGTGCGTGCGTGCGTGCGTGCGTGCGTGCGTGCGTGTGCGTGCGTGTGTGTGTGTGCGCGCGCGCGCGTATGTGTGTATATGATAGGTAAAATGGATAATTTTTTAAAAATAAATTATATATATATATATATATATATATATTTAATAAAAATATTAAAGTACGATTATTAAAATTATTAAAAAATTGATATTGTAGTTTATGTAAATATTGAATATTTCAAATCAATATATGTCAAAGTGTAAAAGCTTTGTATACTATTGATTTTTCAATATCTCTCTGACTGAATACTTCTAAGTACATAATAATAAGAGAAACCATATTATTACAAAAGAATTATTTTATTAAGCAAAATGAAAGTTATCGTCATATCTTTTTAACTCTTCCACTTAAAAAAAAAATGTAAAATATACTCTCCTTGAAACCATTTCACTTTTCTTCGAAACATTTTTTCGTATTATAAAAAATAAGTGAGATTTAAATTTAAATGGATCATGCTGTACATAGTAAACTTCTAGACATTATGAAAGATTGCAGTGCATCTGTATGGAGTGAAACATGATGCTATTTATTGTGAAGAAATGTATGTATACACTTATATTTACATATAATATCTATATTTCGATTGTCATAAAATTGAAAAAAAAATATAGAAAATTATAAAGGAGAAAAGAAAAATATGTATAATACGTACAATTTTTATTGTATTAAAGATATGTATTTCAACTTAGACATTTTTGAATAAATTAATGCATCAAATCATCACTGGAGAGAACGAAACATAGTGAGATAAGATAGAGACGTTTTTACAACCTTTAAGAAATAAAAAAATCCCTCGGTAAGCTAGAATTGTAACAATATAATTTATAAAGATAACAATACCATTTTATATTTACCGTAGCGAAGCTTTCAATAGATAAAATCACTATTTTACCGGCTGTGATTTTACATGGTGACGTTGTTCTGTTCATAATTAAGAGAAGAAGTTTCTGACATCTGCGCGAAGCATCATACCAATTCGCCCTGCAGCTATTATTTAAGATAAGATAAATATAAATTAAAATATTTTATAAATATAAATTAAAATATAAATGTAAATTTAAAAGATAAATAAACTATATTGATAATAAATCGTCTGGGTTTTTATCTTGATATTCAACACAGAAAGCTGCAATCTATCTTTTGATTCGCATTGTATATATTACATATATTATAATAAAGGAATTACAATTATATCAGAATTAAAATAATTGTAAGTGTGCGATTATTTGTAAATATTATAATTCTCTAAAAATATTTAAAAAATCATTCGTTTCGATACAAGCTTTTCTCGGTTTTTTTGAATTGTTTAGAAAAAAGAAAAAAATCTCAAACTAAAGAATCGAACATATTGAATATTCGATCTGTTTGAATAGTTTGAAGTATAAAAAAGTGAATGTTTATTTTGAATACTTCGGATAATTCAAGTTTAAGTAGTGATCGGTTAGAATTGTCAATTTAGTTATGTCTTAAAGTTTGGACAGTTTAAACTGTAAAGAAATGTAATGTACCTTGGGAAGAGCAGTTTTTCACAAAAAAAATTTTTTCTTTTTTAGATGGTTGCTTAGTAAAGTGTTGAAAATTTGGGATGTCTCATCAGGGCTTACCCAAAATCTGCACAATTTAGATAAAAATATTTCTGAATGTTTTAGCTGTACAGTTAAAAATAACAGTCAATCAGTCAAAATAAGTTGATATTAGTCAATATCATTAAAAAAATTTTGATGGTATTAGCCCATGAATATATGCTCTGAAAGCAACTGTAAAAAAACAAAATAACAAATAATTTGGCTTGATTTTATGCATCAAAATAACAATATTTTTCTGTTTTTTAGGTCAACAACTTTTAAACAAATGAGTGAATTCAAATAAATTTTTGCATGAATATTTATTATTGTTTAATGTGCAGAATTCGACTGAACAATCTTTTCGTGGTACACATCATGGTACGTAAATATCGGCGGTATTGTGTGCTGAAAATTTAGAGAAAAAGAGTTTTCCTAATTTTTTTGAGCAGTGTAAATTAAGAATTACATCTTTATCAAACGAAAACAAGGTGAGAATATGTTTACTTTTCGATGTTAAATTTGTATGCAAGTTTATACATGTAAATGTAAGTATCTTTCCAGAATGGCCATTGATCTATTACTTTTTGTTATCATTACAAATGTAATGCTTTGAACTATTATAATCTCATTTTTTAGAAAAGTCTATGGTGATATTTGTGATCAGTTAGTCAAAGAAGCGTTTTCAATTCTTAACTATTTACTAATTATAAGTTATACATTAAAAGTTACATTTTTAACATTTTTTCTCCCTCATTTCATCGGTAATCTATCCTAGAATTTTATATACGTCAAGTTTAATATTTTAGCTTTATTACATTAATTACATAAAAAAATTAGACATTTCTATGATAACTCGGTTTAATAATAAGAATCA